GCGCCACTCGGCCGGCCCAGCCCAGTACATTTTTTCTGGCCCTGGATCCTACTTGCTTTTAGACATCATGTCTCCTTAGTCTCTTCCAATCTGGGTTAGTTCCTGTCTTTCTTTATCTTTTGGGACCTTGATGGCCAGTTGTTTTGTGGAATGTCCCTTCATCTGGCTTATCTGATGTCTTCTCAGGATTAGATTGAGGCTATGTGTTTGTGGCAGGAACACCACACCAGTGAAGAGCTCTTCTCGCTGCATCTTACGAGGGAGCTTTGTACTGGCGATGTGACTTGGATTGCTTGGTTAAGGTGCTGTCAGGTTCCTCCACTGTAAAGATAACTATTATTTTTTCTCCAAAGGAGCAGAATATAAGAGGTAGTTGAAGAAATCTGAGAGCAGGGTGTGTGGCAGGAATCAGGGTCTGAATCAGCAGCTCATTCTATCATTGTCTTCTCTTCTCACAGGCACTCTCATCTCTGTCTTTCCCCATCAGCTTCATTTCTCTGCCTCTCTGAAGCGTTGCCTTTCTCAGCTTCTCCACGCACATTATAAAAGATTGCCCCTCCCAAATGGCGGCCTCAGGCCCCAAGTTTATATGAAACTGCCCCCAACTCACTGCTGTTTCTGAGATCCTTTTCCAAATTCCCAGGAGAGGAAGCTGAGTCAGGCCCAGCCCTGTATCTGTGGCTCTGGTCAGGAGAGTGGGGTCACACCGCTGCTGGGACCCTTCTTTGAATGAGATGGCACAATCCTCAGACAAGGGGATGACATGGGCTGGTAGACATCTTCCCAAAGTATATAATGCATGTAACCCCTCCTTCCTCTCCCTCCTTCCCACCCTTCCTTCCTTCCTTCCTTCCTTCCTTCCTTCCTTCCTTCCTTCCTTCCTTTCTCCTGCCCCTCCTTCCTGATGCAACAGATACATTCCTGTAAGATAGGTTTTCAAATGCCATCCCTAAGGGAACTTCACTATTCTAAGGTCACATTAGTATATAAAGTGAAGAATCAAGCTGTCATGGGAAAAATCATCCTCTAGATTGTCCAAATGCACATTTAGCTGCATGCATGGAATGCCCTGTTGTGGGCATACACAATGTTGAATTTAGATACCTGTCTAGCCCCTCGTGATTCAGTGTGGTCCAGAGATGGTTAGAAATGCAGAACCTCTGGCCCCACGCTATACCTGCTGAGTCAGGATCTATAGCTTAACAACATCCTCAGAGAATTTGAAGGAACCCGTATTGCAGTTTGACAAGGGCTGTTCTAGTGCTGTTTGTTTGCTTTATTTGTTTTTGAGGACAGATAGTGCATGTTGGATTCTTTTCTACTTGGGAAAACGAGATTGTAAAAGAGTCATGACTACAAATACTAAGCTTGCAAATAAGTATATTTATGGCTCTTTGTGTATTGCAGAAGGTCAAAGTGAATATAAGGCCACCTCTTTATATTTTCCTACCTTAATTTTTACTTCTCCTGAATTAATAATAAATAGTGTTTGCCTGAAGTTATTTTATGTATACATAAGTGTGCATATGCATGCATACATGCATACACACACACACATGCATACACACGTTTTAGCTACCAAAACATATATGTAATTACAGATCAGAAATCAGGAGAAAAATTAGAGCACCATAATTATGAAATGAGAACAAGGAAACTCTTCCCTTTGAATTATTTCAGTAAAAATAGCATCTCATCTATTTAGTCTGTGTTCTTTTCACTTATTTTTTGGCTATCAGATTTACACTAATTCATTAACGTGTGAAGAATATACTTATTTGAATTGTACATTTTATTTCATGGACAGCAGTCTTTTTATTTTCTGGGGTTGTCGTCTTCAGACTGCCTTTTGGGGGGCTCTGTCAAGGGCTGATTTCAGGGGGTACTGATGCAAGTATAAGAAGAAGGAGCTTAATTTTCACATTCCCTTTAGCTAAAGGATGCAAACGTGATTCTATTGCTGACAGAAACATGAGCAAAACAAAACTTGACACGCTGAGTCCAGATTTTCCCTGCCAAGTCTGGGTCTTAAGGGAGAGGGCACGGTCGGTTTTCTGACAGCTGTGTCTTTGCCCACAGACAGCGACCCTGGAGCAAGCTATTAAAGATGCCAATGAGTGTTACGCTGATGAGATTCAGCTCTATATTGAACAGATTGAAGCCCTGCGGAAGGAGATTGAAGAGACTGAGAGAAGCCTGGAGAAGTCTTCCTATGATTGCCGGCACCTGGTGGTCGCCCAGCACACTCTAAAGAATGAACTGGACCGGTATCATCGGATCATTGATAATGAAGGCAACAGGTGTGGTCACAGAAGGGCACAGCCAAAAGTGTGCCTTTCTCTCCATCCTGCTCACTTGCTGATTCCACAGAGCTCTGTCGAATACTTCCCGTGTGCCAGTTTTAGGCAGTGGGATGTGGCAGGAACGAAACACAAAAATCCATGACCTCATGGAGCTTGAATACAAGTGAGGGAGACAGATGATGAATGAATCTGTAACAGAGGGAGCGTGACCTATGCCAAGTGCTATGGAGGCATTTATGGCAGGGAAGAGGGAACTGGCAATGGGAGTGGTGGTGGGAATGTTTGAAGTTTTGAGTTTGGCGATAGGAAAAGGCCTCAAGGCTACTTCTTGCTCCACAGGCCTCTGGGGACATAGCTGTCTTAGCAGATAGGACGATCGGGAGTATTTAATGAGATGTTGCAGGTGAGGTGCCCTGTGCAGTACCTGGCACTGGACCAGTGCTTCAAGGTGTTGGTGTTATTACTGCTGCTGCCAGCATGATTTTTACCACCTGGTTGAGCATATAATGTGGCTGTTGTATCCTGTCTGGTCTTGTCTATAATGGAGCTGTGACTTGAACTCTACTCACTTCAAACAGCTGGGAAATATATCTCCATCTCTTTATCATCTCTTCTCTCTCTCTCTCTCTCTCTCTCTCTCTCTCTCTATATATATATATATATATATATATATATATCATCTCTCTCTCTTTCTCTCTCTCTCTCTCATCTCTATCTCTATCTCTATCTCTCTGCCTCTGCCTCTATCTTTATCTCTACTTCCATCTCATCATCTGCATCTATACCTTTACCTACACCCACATCATCTATGTCTACACTTACACCTACATGTGTATTTATATCATGTACATATATGTGTACATCTGCGCTTGCATCTACATTATCTGTATCATCTATACATCATCTACATCTATGTCACCTACAATCACATTATCTGCACCTACACCTACACCTACCTCTATATGTAGATCATCTACATGTACATCTACACCTACAACTGTGTGATTTACATCTATATTATCTACACCTACACCTATGTTATTTGTTTACATCTATGTCATTTACACCTACACCTATTAATACATCTCCACCCCTACATAGCCTAAACCTGCAATATCTATATCTACACCTACACCTATACCTACGTCATATACAGGTGTATCTGTACCTACAGCTGCATTATTTGTGTCGACACCTACATCTAATTGCCTACATCTGTGGCCATGTGGGTATCCATATCCACATCCATATCTGTAATTATCATCAGAAAGCAGAGTGGAGACAGCCACCTCATATAAGGACTCTGATTCTTGATTAAGTTGTGATTCTTCGATTCATTTTTGCTGATGTTTTAGGTTTAGATTGAATTAAAAAAGGAGCACCCAGAAGTACCCCACAAGGAGTAGTTCTTTCTTTTCCTCTGGGCGCTCTATCTTGGCTGCAAGTACTTGAATGTTTAGCAGGAAAAGCAAAATTTTCTTTTTTTCTCCTCTAGTTATGATCAATGTATCATGCATAATTCCAAATTATATTTTTGTCACAGTGAGTGCTTTTGCACACATTAGCAAAAATAAGCCTTGAATTCGCACTTAAATGTTCTTGTGAAAATTTTTGTTTTGGAGGCAGGGCTTCACGAAAAGGTGACTGGATTTATCTTCTGTTGGTTTGTTTATAACGTCTCGTTTTAATACACTAATTTAAAATTGATAGAAATGTTGCAAGCATAGAACAAGGGAGTCCTGAATGCTCTTTACTCAGATTCACCAGTTGTTTACATTTTGTCTAAATTGTTTTATCTTTTCTCTCTCTCTCTCTACTTATATATAATGCATATTATTTAAAAAAAAAACAAGTTGGAGATATCATACCCTAGTTGCCCTCAATACTGTAGTTTGGGCTGGCAACTCTTTTATTAAAAAACAAAACAAAACCCCTATTCAACAGAGAAGTGGCATTTTGACATTAAGCAATCCCCACTTTACAATTTTTCTATACGTGTGTTTCACAGTTTATGACTTGAGCTCAAATAAATGATTATGCCCTTTACATTCTCATCCAGTGTGTAAATATGTATGTGGTTCATGAGCAGTTTGATCTAGAGAAAGCTTTTTCATTTTTGCTCATAATTAGCGGGCGACCGCTGTCCCCCAACCATCTGTTTGGCTTGATTAATTAAAGATGGCGACCACCTCTTTCTGATTCTTTCTGCCAGGCTGAGCTCCGCCTTGATTGAACATCCTGTCACTCTGTTCACCTCATGCCATGTAGCTTCTTTCAGCCCTCGACCCAGCAGGAAAGGTAATGCTCCTCAAACCCTTGCTTCTGTTGTTTTCTGTCCTCAAAAAAAAATTTTAAAAATTAAGGGGCTTTCTTCCTGAACTTAACATTCATTCTCCCTTCCAATCCATCTGGACATTAAATGCTTTTAGGTGAAGTCTCCTTCTCTCCCTCACTGATGTACTCCCACAGGTGCTAAGGACTAAGCCAAAAGGACTAAGCCAAGGAGAGAGATTGGGGGACACACCACCTTGGAATGCCATCCCTAAATGGGAAGACTTTAATGGAGGAGAATACAATGCAATATTCACTTTGGAAATGAATATTGAATTGTATTTTCCCATCAAATTAAATGAACTCTTCTATACAAAAGTGCTTAATCCAGTATCTGGAGCAGAGTAAATGCTCAATTACTGCTCGTTTTCTTTTCCATTCACAACTGAACAGAAGTAGCTTGGTTGTCAAGCGTAGCTTTTGCCTTCAACATTTGGTCTTTTGGGGTTGGTTTCAGGTGACTGTGAGATGTCACCTCACGGCTGAACCTCCCTATCCTGAACAAACGCAGTGGGAGAAGAGAAGGTGGTAATGTCGGTGGCCCATACGTAGAGTGCCTTCAAATTCATGTGTCTCAGAAAGCTCAGAGGAGTTTGTGGAAATGAGATCCCAGAGTCAGAACATTGTTGGAAGCGACAGCAGTCCCCAGTCCCCAGATACACAGGGCTGCTGGCTCTAGGGGCATGTGGCCCGTGCAAGGGTACTGAACTCACAAGGGTCCCCACACTGGGCTTAATGCTCTACTGTCAGTGTCTTGAAATTCTTAGTTGTTTTTAATAGGGAGCGCTGCCTTTTCCTTTTGTACTGGGCCCTGAAATTCTGTAGCTGGTCCTGCAAGCACCCTGTCCTCTCATATCTGCTGCCAGCTGTCTTCTTTGATGTGTCCCTCTCCGTATCCCCCTCCTCCCTTATGTCTGCATGGCCCCTTTCTGTTATTTCCTGCTCACTGTGCTCTCTCATCATGAGTCACACCAGATGCTCTTGTTTTGTCTGTCTTAGTCCTCTGGTTAATGGAGAGAGGGGATTGAGGCTTTGGGGATGAAAAAGTTAAAAAAAAAAATCACCATGTGAGTGGAGCAGAAAAGCCTCATGGATGAAGCAGGGTTTGATTTTGTATGTTTTTGCAAACTTTTTAGTTTTTTCTTTTAGCTAGTGTGAAGCAATAAATATGGCCTTGGGAACAGGAGACTTCTGTTAGTTCTGAATTTAATAGCATCACTTCCCCTTTTTACCCAGGAGGAAGGGGATGCTGATCAGGAGTGATCGTATGTATTTAGCTTGGGATGCATGTGGAACAAGGGAGCAACTGTGTGGATTGATATGATTCCCATGCCTGAAGCCATTCTGAATGTATCAGAGGCCCAGGCAGCTCTGCCATGTCTCCTTTGGGGAAGTCCAAGGATGGAATGATTTTGTGGAATGGATTTCCATTGTCTAGTCTATGGATCCAAGTGGCCACCACGAGCTCAGCAGGGGGTTGGTGTGGGACAGGAGCTGTTGCTCCAACTGAGTATTATTGCAATAGAATCATGTGTCTCAGTAAGTTGTACCCAGGGGGATGGGAACTGTGAGTGTCGGAATAAGCAGTGTCTTCCCTCCCCTCTGCAAGCCCAGAGGGGTTAAGTGACTTGTACAAAGTCGCATAATTGGTGGCAGAGCTGGGACCTCAACATGGGCCATGGACACTATAGTTCCAGGCCTCTTTCCCTGTTGCATTGCCCTATAAACAGTAATTCCACCCCAGTGCTAGGCATTAGTCTCCAAGACAGTTAGCATAGTTTTAAATGAATACATTTTTTCCCTCTTTCATTGACAATTATATTTGATTTATTGCCCATTTATTTTTTATTTAATTTAATGCATGAATTTATTTTTTAAAGATCTCTCCAGGGCTCTGCAGGATATAACAACAGCAAAACCAAGACAAAAAGACCTCCCTAAGAATGTTCCAAGGAAAAGGGAGATTATAGCTAAAGACAAAGCAGATGAAAGTGTGGAAGATGCACCACCGAAAGGTCTAGAAGACACAAAGCCGATGCAGGTGGTAGTTAAAGAGGAAGGTGAATTTAAGTTTGAATCGGGGGATGAAGAAGCAAGTCCCCCTACCCCAGAAGTGGCTCCAGACGATGTTCCAGATGGAGGGCAGATAAGCAAAGCCTTTGAGAAACTCTGCAAGACAGTCAAGGAGAGAGTGAGAAGCCCCAAGCCTGAGCCGCCCTCTGACCTCTACACCAAAGGGCGGTACGTGCTTGTCTCGGGGGATGCCAGTTATGTGGACCCCGAGTTTTGTTCCTTGTCCATCCCGGCTAGGGGAAGAGTGGTTGTTTCCATTGAGGATGACTCTCTGCATCATGACAGCTCTGTGGAGCCCTCTCCTGAGCAGCCCCAGCCCCGTCTGGAGAATGCCCAGGGGGGTCTACAGGGGAGAGAAGATGGATACCCACCCAACCAGCATACTGCAAACAAGGAGAATGAGATAAACACCGAAGAACCAAAAGGTCCCGGGGAGAAGCACAATGGCCAGGAGGATGAAGGGCCCAGGAGACCTTGTCTTGTGGTCACACCTGGTCCAAAGGGACCGTCTGCGCCCCCACCTGAAAAGCCTGGGGCCAATCAGGGTGGGTCTGAGGGGCAGGGGCCTAGAAATGGCAGCCTACAAGAGAGAAGCCCTCCCAGGACTCTGGCATATGAGAAGGTGGAAGTGATGGAATCCATTGAGAAGTTTTCAACTGAGAGCATCCAGATGTATGAAGAAACTGCTGTAATCGTGGAGACCATGATTGGAAAGACAAAGGCAAACAAGAAGAAACAGGGAGAGAAGCATTCTCAAAATGCCTAGGCTCCATGGGAGAAATGTTTCTGGGCCATTGTAGGGGACATGCTTTGTTGTAGAACAAATGATAAAGAGTGAGGGTTCCTGTTTGGAGTAGATTATAGTTGGCCCATCTGGCATTGCTAATGAGGCCTTAATTAAAAACTTTTCTTTGCCTGCACATTGTTTGTCTAATTAGCAGGGGCAGTGGGAATGTAGGTAGATCAGCCCCACGCAGGACAGGCCATTCTGCAAATGGCCACCAAACCATGCTTGTTTAGGAAAGAGACATGCCCTTAATCAGGGTTCATTGAGACACTCGTTAGAGACTCAGAGGATGTCTGGATTTCACACAGAAAATGCTAGTTGATAGCATTGGCTCATGTTCAGTGCATTTCAAGCACAAGTACATGCTCACGTTGAGTAGTGTTTTGTTAGAGGTAAAATGATTAAAGTACCTGACTTAGTTTGGGTTCCCTCAGAAGTTGATCCTGAAGCGAGGGTTTGAACATAGTTCTCAGGGCTGTGTCTCATGAACCACAGTAGGACAGTGGAGAGGGAGAGAGGGACAACCATTAAAAGGTGTCCAACCAGGTCTGTTAGCACTGTGGGCAGCTGGAGCTCAATTCCAACCCCCCCACCCTCAGGGACTCTGGGAGATGAAATAGAACACATGCTACAGAGTTACCCGCCCAAGGGGTGAGGAAGTGGGGCATTCATCCACCAACCGCTGTCAGCCAGTGGCAAGGGCTTGCTCCCAGGGTGTTAACTATAAGTGGGCACCAATGCCATTTGCCATAGCATTGTACCAAATGTCCTTTTGTCTGAGCTACTTCAAATTTTCACACTCAGAGATTGCAATCCTAGGTCAAGTTTCAAAAAGCAAAATCAAATGTCACCACACAGTTCCTTGTTTAGGAGTTAGTTAATTAAGCCCAACAAGCATTTATTGAGCATATACTATGTGTCAGACAGTGTGTTATACTGATAAGGGGAGAATTTTCAGATTTATTAATAATTACTATAATATGGAATGCTGTAATATACATGTCTGTGCATGCTATCTTGTGCACACATACACACACATGCACATATGCACACAGGTACTTACTGTGTCACATCCTAGGACATAGAAATTACTTCAAACCAGTATCTTTACAGATTTTTATTTTTCCCCTAGGCATCTATTTTTCTACTAACAGTTCAAAAGTATTTTTTTATTTATACTGATTAAGAAGGTACATCTCCCCTGTTGTATGCTCCAAAATACATGAAAGGCACTGAGTAAATATGCTTAAATGGATTATTGCATCTGCCTAAACAAAAGCATCTGGCAAGATAACTACATGTTATTGGAGAAAATTGACTAAGTCATAAATTGCATTCTCTTATTTCTTTGTTATGGATAATAGAAAGAATACTAAATGGAGCCACCTTTCCTTTCTATTTAGAGCTTTAAAAAATCTTGTCCTGGGCTGGCTGAGTGGCACGTTGGTTAGGAGTGGGCTTGGGATGCCAGCTCTGAGCAGCAGGGCCCCGGTTTGGATCCCACATGAGGGCCAGTGACACTGCCCTCTACAGCTAAGATGGTCAACAACAGCTCGACCTGGAGCTAGGCTGCCGTGAGTTGCCCATGATGGCATAGGCTGCAGTGGGGCTGCAGTGGACTCCTGTAAGCTACTGTGAGTGGCTGGCAGCCGGTGTGAGCTGCTAAAGCCACCGTGAGCAGCCATCCAGTGGCCAGCAAGTGACTGCCTCACCCAGGAAGAGCGCAATGATAATACCAACATGGGGCCAGTGAAGTGACGTCCTCCACAACTAGACTGAAG